ATCGAGACAAGCTCCATGCAAGCGGGTCTCTGCTTGGATAGCACTGCCCCGATGTCTGTAGTCGAGAGCAATTTCGATCTCCCACCCGAGCAGTATTGATCTGGACTGACCAAGCACGCCTTCAGCATGGCGATCGCGAACTCGGGCCCGCTGCAGAAATCCAGGCTCGAAAGCGCTCTGAATGTCTGATTGCTGACTTCTTTCCGAAACTTGAGGGTTTTCGTCCAGCGGTCGAGGTCTTTCAACAGAATTCCGTTCTCTCCTCCGCTCCATTTTTTCACGAATTCAGCCAAGTCTCCAACTTTCCCAACAAGATATGGCTTTGAACTCTCCATACTTCTCACGACAGATTCCCAACGATACTCCTGGTGCGATCTGAAGTTGCGCATTGCAGAAGCATGGATCTGCATCAGAGACTGGGTGCAAGTCTGTAATCGCTCAGTGCCGTGGCCCGAGTTGAAGGCCTCCTGGAGGAAGATTGGCAACGATGGGATGGCCTGTTCGATTTGCCACCTGATCACACGCCACTGGAGGCCCTCGTCGCACGCCTTCGCGTACGCAGGGTCGATCGCCCTGAGCTGATCCAGGGAAAGGCGACCGTCCGAAACGTAGTCCTCGTCCAAGAAGGTTGAGCAGCCCGCCAGCCACGCGTTCAGACCACAATTCGTGTGAGTGGCTGCAACGCTGAGTCCACGGACGTCGTGCTCTAGGACGCCTGCCAGCAAGCCGTCGGATTCCTGAGCCAATCTAATATTGAATTCGACTTGCTCCTGCTTGCGCTCGGGATTCACTTCGAAACAGCAGGCCTCGGGCGCTTTCCGTGCCACGAAACCTTGATCCACGATCCTCTTGAGGAGGCAATGTACGTCAACAGGGTCTGCTCCCGCCTTGTCGCGGTTCTCACAGTGAGGAACCACGCGTGGTGGCCTCAAGGTGGCAACACACGCGAGATCCATCTGCAGAAGAAGTTCTTTGATCCTCTCGCCTTTAGCCAACATCTGCTGTCCACTATCCCCCTTGTCCGAACCTTTTGACATGATCTGCTCGACCATTGGCACCGCTATGCGAAGCGAACTCTCCATCTCTGCCGAGATCGTGGCGACTGGACCGAAGAAACCAGAAGGAAAACGCCTGGCTGAAAAAAAAACAGCTGCGGCAGCGACGACAGCGCAAAAAAAGACTGCTCCCTCCCTCCCTCTCCTCTCCTCCCCTTTCTGTTCCTCTGCTATCTCTCCCGCTGGTCTTGGGTTATCCTGGAGGTCCCTGATGCCCTGGAATTGTCATTTCGAAGTGTCCTGGAACCCCTCCGAGGTCAATCCCGTGGAACCCAGACCCTTGGAACCGAGACCCTTGGAATCTTGTTTGCCACTGGACTCAAAGATGGATTTGCGCAGAGGGCCGTTTGGGATGCAGACTTCTCCAATCAGATTTCCAAGAGCCCATGTCAATAATTCCGCATACCCCTCATATAAGAGAAGGCTCTGAGCGTATGAAAACTGATGTTATTCAACTTAAAAACCAGGTTATGTAACTACCCATCTCGCTTGCGCTAACTAGGCTAACCGAGATACGCACTTAGCATAAACAAGTTACGGGGGCCCGCTAAGTAGGCCGAACCACTTAGCCCTCGGCCGTAAGTAGCCTAAGTGGTTAGCTGTGGTTAGGCTGGGGTTCAGCCACTTATAAGTTAGGTTGCGCAGGTTATTACCTACGTTGTAAATACGTGATAACTCGTGGAAACACTAAGGAACCGCCGCGGTGGTCCCAGTCCCCCCCGGTGCCGGCCCCCCCCCCGGTGCCGGCACCCCCCCCCCGGTGCCGGCCCCCCCCTCCCCGGTGCCGGCCCCCCCCCCACCGCGGTGCCAGCGCCCCCCTCGGGGGTGCAGCAGGGCGCGGGGGGGGGGAGGCGAGGACCCCCTCCTCCCTCCTCCTCCTCCCTCCTCCTCCTCCTCCTTCTCCCTCCTCCTCCAGGCGGCAAAGCAGCTCCAGGCGGCCGAACCCCGGGCCCCCGGAGGCCCGCGTTTTCCGGCCCCGGGGCCGCGGAGACGAGGGGAAGAGCGGCATGAGGGAAGGGGCCGAGAGGTCCGGGGGCGCCCGACGACGACGACGACGGCGGCGACGACGACGACGACGGCGACGATGACGACGACGACGACGACGACGACGACGACGACGACGACGACGACGACGACGACGGCGACGACGACTGCAGCGAGGCACCTCGCCGGGCGCGGAGCCGATGGGCGCGCGAGCCTCCTCGCTCCGCGCTCCTGGCACCTCGCTCCTCGCCCACCTCCTAAACCTCCTCCTCCTCCTCCTCCTCCTCCTCGCTCCTCCTCCTCCTCCTCCGGCCCAAAACCGGCCCCCCCAAAACCGGACCGTCCCGCGACCGCCGAACCGAACCGGCATAACCGACCCGGACTGGCAAAACCGGACCGACCAAAACCGGACCGGCGCCGAAATCGAACCGCTGCAACCGAACCGGTCCGCCGCCGAACCGGCCCGAACCGGCCCGAACCGGACACTTCCTGGACTTAGGTCGGGCATGTCCTCCTACAAGCGGATTTGGGGAGAATTATCCCGGCAAAGCAACCTAACAGCTATGTGTATAAGCATATCTGGAAGCATTCCCCTTAAGATTCAGGTGAGAATCCAGTTGTAGAATTCTGCTGTTCTCGTAGTCGCAGTCGCATTCGCAATGACAGTCGCAGTGACAGTCCTAGGGATTCCTAAAGCATCCTTAGGCATCCTTAGGAATCCATAGGAATCCTAAGGATTCCTGAGGATGCTTAACTATGCCTACGGATTCCTAACGATGCCTACGGATTCCTAAGGATTCCAAAGGATTCCTACGGATGCCTCAGCCTGCCTCAGTTTCAGCCTCAGCCTGAGCGTGCCTCGGCTTGCCTCAGCCTCAGCCTCAGCCTGCCTCGGCCTCAGCCTCAGCCTGCCTCAGCCTCAGCCTGCCTCGGCCTCAGCCTGCGTCAGCCTCAGCCTCAGCCTCAGCCTCAGCCTGCCTCGGCTTGCCTCGGCCTCAGCCTCAGCCTGCCTCGGCCTCAGCCTGCCTCAGTCTCAGCCTGCCTCAGCCTCCCCTCCTCCCCCCCCCTCCTTCCCCCCCCATTCAGCCTCACCTTGTCTCAGCTTCGGCCTGCCTCGGCCTCATCCTCAGCCTGCCTCAGCCTCAGCCTGCCTCAGCCTCAGCCTCAGCTCCGTCCCCGTCCGCCTCACCACGCACACCTCTCCCCTCGTCCCCACCCATCCTCCCCCCTCTGCAGCCATCACCCCCCACTCCACTCCCCCATCATGCCTTCACCCCACCTCACCCCACCAGCCCCACCATCCGCAGCCACCCCCCATATCCCGTCCGACCCAGCCCCCACCACCACATCCCCCACCCCACCTTCTCACACACCACAGCCTGTCTCCGCCTCAGGTGGCCTCAGCCTAGCCTCAGCCTAGCCTGCCTCGGCCTTCAGCCTCAGCCTGCCTCGGCCTCAGCCTGCCTCAGCCTCAGCCTCAGATGCCTCAGCTCCCAGCCTCAGCCTCAAGCTGCTCAGGCCGCAGCTTGCCTCAGCCTCAGCCGCAGCCTCAGCCTGCCTCAGCTTCAGCCTCAGCCTCAGCCTGCCTCGGCTTGCCTCAGCCTCAGCCTCAGCCTGCCTCGGCCTCAGTCTCAGCCTGCCTCAGCCTCAGCGTCAGCCTCTCAGCCTCAGCCTGCATCAGCCTCAGCCTCAGCCTGCCTCAGCCTTAGTCTCAGCCTGCCTCAGCCTCAGCCTGCCCCAGCCTCAGCCTGCCTCGGCCTCAGCCTGCGTCAGCCTCAGCCTCAGCCTGCCTCAGCCTCAGCCTGCCTCGGCGTGCCTCAGATTCAGCCTCAGCCTGCCTCGGCCTCAGCCTGCCTCAGCTCGGGCATTCAAAATATGGCACAGGACTTGTGTTCTGGGAACACGAAAATCACGAAATGGCCCACAGTTGGCTCTGGGCAATATGGTACAGGAGTTGTGTTCTGGGAACACGAATAACACGAAATGGCCTACAGTTGGCTCCGGGCATTCAAAATGTGGCCTGGGCATGGTGTTCTGGGAACACGAAGAACACGAAATGGGCTAATTACAGTTGGCTCCGGGCATTCAAATGTGGCCTGGGAATGGTGTCTTGGGAACATGAAGAACACGAAATGGCCTAATTACAGTCGGCCCCGGGCATTCAAAATGTGGCCTGGGAATGGTGTTCTGGGAAGACGAAGAACACGAAGTGGCCTACAGTTGGCTCCGGGCATTCAAAATGTGGCCTGGGAATGGTGTTCTGGGAAGACGAAGAACACGAAGTGGCCTACAGTTGGCTCCGGGCATTCAAAATGTGGCCTGGGAATGGTGTTCTGGGAATGGATTCCTAAGGATTCCCAAGAATTCCTAAGGATTCCTGGGGCTGACCCTTTTGTCCGGTTTTGTCCGGATCCCGCCCAGACCCCCCTGGGGCGTCAAGACCCTTTTGTCCAGTTTTGTCCGGATCCCGCCCAGACCCCCCTGGGGCGTCAAGATGCTCTCTTTTGACACCACTAGAAACCTATCAGTCTTCGCTGTTAGGTAAAAACTTAGCTGTGGCCGTGTCTTGCCTCTTCGGGACGTGGGATCTCGGCGTCGTCCTCCTCCTCCTAAACCCCTTCTGCGATCGTTCGGCAAATAGGGGCCCTCTTGGACCGTTTTCGGGGCCTCCCGGGGCCCTCGTGGCCCGTCTTGGGTTCTCTTGAGCGCGAACAAATTACGCGCCACCACTTGGCCAAGCCCAGGGCCGCGTGGGTGGGGGTTCGTCAGCAGCACGCCGCTAGCACCGCAGCTCGAGGCGGGCTGCGGGTCCTCCTCCCCCCCCTCCTCCTCCTGTTCTCCTCCTCCTCCTCCTCCTCCTCCTGTTCTCCTCCTCCTCCTGTCCTCCTCCTCCTCCTCCTCCTCCTCCTCCTCCTCCGCCTCATAAGCGAGGAGGATTGCAAATCACGCAGCGTCCCCCACCTTCGGAGGTCCTTCATTGCCCCCTCGCGGGGCAACGCCTCTCGGTACTGCGGGTCCTGGCGCAGGAACTCGCCAAGCTTCTCCTCCACGTGCTCCTGGATCACGTCCACGTGGATGAACGGCTGCTCTGGGAGCCTGTTCTGGAGGATCTTCCCGAAGATGGCGACCTCGACGTCCTTACCTGCAAGGACCAAAAGGTATCCATAGCGCTGCTCCCCAGACCTCTCCGGAGGGGTGCGTTCTTACTAGAATTCCAAGGCGAATCCAGCGGTGGCGACGAGGGCCTCTCAAGAGGCCCAAAAAGACAAAAAGGAGGGACGGGTGGCGGTATGGGTACCATGTTCAATGGAAAAAAATGCAATCTCCCCAAAATCCCCGACACCCCCCCGGACAACCCCTCCAAGATGCACACCAGAAGCGTCCCAACATGTGACTGTGGCTGGCGCTCGAGCGGCATTCTCAGGATTCTCCAGGATTCTCTTCCATTAGATCTGGTACCTTTTCCTCCTCTGACTGCCCGCGTACTTCTGGACGGCGCTCACGATAGCCGCGGCCCGGTCGCGGGCCTCCTCGATGGGCCTGTCTTCCACCACCACCACCATAAATAAGTTGGAGGGTCCTCCTTCTTCTCCTCCTTCTTCTTCTCCTCCTCCTCCTCCTTCTTCTCCTCCTCCTCCTCCTCCTCCTCCACCTCCTCCTCCTCCCTTCCTCCTGCTCCTCCTCTTCGTCCTCCTCCTCCTCGTCCTCAACCTCCTCCTCCTCCTCTTCCTCCTCCTCCTCCCCTTCCTCCTCCTCTTCCTCTTCGTAGTCCTCCTCCTCGTCCTCCACCTCCTTCCCCCCTCCAACTTGTGGTGGTGGTGGTGGTGGTGGAAAACAGGGCCCATCACTCCTGGCTGCGGTGTCGCGGAGGAACTAGGGGATGTGTAGTGTTGACCGCCTCGTCGGCCGCAGGAGGGGGAGGAGAGGAGAGGGGAGGGGGGGGGGGGGGAGGGAGGAGGAGGAGGAGAGGAGGAGAGGAGGCGGAGGAGGAGGAGGAGGAGAAGGAGGAGGAGGAGGAGGAGGAAGAGGAGGAGGAGGAGGAGGACCTCGTCAACCTCCCTTCTCTTCCGTCCTACCTGTGGCAGCTGTGGTGGAAAGCAGAGCCACCGCTCCTGGCCGCGGTGGCGCTCCCCCAGGTACCGGAAGAGGTGGCGCTCCATGGTCTCGGGCCGGTCCGTCGGGAGGGCCTGCCTGTCGTGTTCCTGCTTCGAGAGGTACAGGGCCCGGATGGTCCTCGGAACGGCCCCACAATCGGGGAGACGTACGACTCGGGTACGTGTGACTCGGGTTGTCCGGACGCGGCCATCATGAAAATGACGAGACCCAGCCTGAAATCTGACGCGAACTCCCGCTGCAGACATCCTACGAAAACTGGACCGTCAAAATCCAGGACGCGCTCGTCAAAAAGCGTCGGCTAACCTGAGTTCCGGCTTACCCGAGTCTTACGTTTCCCCGACACATGCGGCCGACAATTTTCGGACACCCCGAGCCCAAAAATGTGTGCCATCTATCTTCAGGTCGGGCATGTCCTCCTACAGAGGGATCTTGGACGAAGAATAAAACATACTCCAGAAATGCTCGAAACTAGCCAAAACTAATAGAACAATCGTCCCGGGACTATTTTGTGACTATTTTTGAATTTTCCTACTGTAGAGGAACGCGCCCGACGTAATGCCACCTTTTGCTTGCGCCGGCTTCCGCCGAGCTGCCGCCAGCTTCCGCCGGCGGAAGCAGCCTCGTTTTACCTCCGCGCCTTCCGCCGAGGAAGCGATGGCAACTCCGTCGATCTTCGAAGGCAATGCCATGTCTGGATCGCCTCACATGTAGGGAGCTACATATCCACCCACACAACCGACAAGCGAAGACATTTCGTAAGCGCGCCCAAGGAAAGAATCGAACAAGTAAGGCCTGTTTCGTGAACGCCCAGGGCCGATTAGGAAACGCCAGTCGTTGGGGTACATGGGGTCCGAGCAGACGGGGTCGGAGGATCGCGACGCATCGCTGCTATGAGGGTGGAGAAAATAGGGCTCCATATCGGGCCGCATTGGTGATGTATCGGCGATGCGGCGCGATCCTCCAACCCCATCTACTTGGACCCCAGCTGGGAGGCCTTGACAGACGTGACCCCAGGACGACGTACCCCCCGTGAGGTGGTGCAGCAGCCGCAATGCAAGCCACGGTCCACGGCCAAACCCAGCTCTTGCGGGTTCCCCGAGGTGGGCCCAAAGGCCGCCTCTCTAGGGTATGTTTGTCCTGGGGTACAATCAAATTACACTAGAAAAACAACCCAATCAATCGATAGTTTTCGCTGAGGAGG